ACTTGGAAGTTGTCCGATTGCTGCTTGAGTCAGGAGCTGACAAAGATGCAGCAGATACAGATGGTCGGATGGCTTTGCACATTGCAGCCCAAGAAGGCCACTTGGAAGTTGTGCGCTTGTTGCTCGAGAATGGAGCTGACAAAGATGCAGCAGATACATATGGCTGGACGGCTTTGCACATTGCAGCCAAGGAAGGCCACTTGGAAGTTGTGCGATTTTTGCTCGAGGCTGGAGCTGACAAAGATGCAGCAGATAGTCAGGGTTACACGGCTTTGTGCTTTGCAGCCTATAAAGGCCACTTGGAAGTTGTGCGATTGTTGCTTGAGGCTGGAGGTGGCAAAGATGCACCTATTCCAAAAGGTTGGTGGACGTCTTTGACCTTTGCAACCATGTATGGCCACTTCGAAATTCACCGATTGCTGCGTGAGGCTGGAGCTAGTGCTGGAGTTGACCATGATGCGGCACGACAGATGGCTTAATGGCTTTGCATTTTGCAGCCGGGGAGGGCCACTTGGAAGTTGTATGATTGTTGCTCGAGGCTGGAGCTGACAAAGATGCAGCAGATATAGATGGTGATACGATCCAATACGTCTTTGTGCTTTGCAGCCTACGAAGGCCACTTGGAAATTGTCAGATTGCTGCTTGAGGCTGGAGCTGACAAAATTGTGGGGACAACAAGAAATAATACAACATATAAGACAACCCCTCATGAACTCACCCCTCACTACCACATTGCAGCACTGGAGTTCCTCTCGATGTTGTTTTCCTAACTTAAGAATTGTATTCATATACCTTGGTGTAGAATGCGCCAATAGGCCAATACTATTGAAGATTCTGATGTAAACCTGTGAGTATGCCACGACCAGTGTAGAATGTGTATCTATGCCGATATTATATCTCATTGGAACTTCTGCTTTCAACAACCACATATTTGTCATTCCGGTGCAAGCCAGCCTTGGAAAACGGCTGTTTAGCGCAACGAGCTGACAGCACCAGGTCTATCAATATAGTGGCCACTAAATAGATACGGTTTCCAAAAGGTTTTGAGTGGGGATCTACGAATCTACGAACTTCTATCCATACCCAGTCAGTGGATAGCCTTTAACCTTTTTTGGGGAGTCTACACATCGATAGAACAGGTAGAAAAAGGTAAACCTTTAGTTATTTTACATGGAAACTGAAGGGGCCAGGATCTTTTTGGGGGTCTATACAATAGTGTCTCCAAGGATTTGGAAAGAGCTGGAACAGACACTTATTGGAACACCCGCTAGGGACACACCAGCGAGAAAGACGTGGCAAGAAAGCTTTCGGGTCGAGCAAGTGCATCGGCACATGACATTCGATGCTTTACTTAGTTAGTTTTTGCACCCAGTTGATTGGGTCAAAGTGTGGCATTTGTTCAGGTTCATTGTGGCATGTGCTCCGTTGATCAAGGTTCATCATATGTGGCAGGTTGTTTGATTCTAACGTGTTTTTTTTGCGCAGAATCTGATATTCCTTTCTCTAATAATTGCCCAACCTCTTGAGCTCAACAAGCATCATTCTTGAATCGAATAGGGCTCAGCCCGGGTTGAACCGGTTCCGGCCCTTTCAGGGCACGGGTTTTTTCAGGCGACGCGTCTTCAGACCGTGCGCACGCCACACAAACTCAGACGTGTCGACGGTGGTTCCGGCGCACCGAGGTGAGGTGCAGCGGCGCTTTCTGCTGGCGGACTTCGAAGGGGAGATGCTCGGGTCGGGGAGCCGAGCGGGTCCGCGGGCTCCGAGCGGGGTCCTGCATGGATAGGATATGTCCTGCATGTTAAAGATATGTCCTGCATGTTTTGCGCGATGGACGTCTTAAATAGCAAACTGAGTAGCAACATCTTAAGTAACATAAATATTGATGAATATATCCATAGTATCTCCCAACAGACACGGAAGATTTGCTTGCCAGTTCCTACAAGTTGTTGGCAGAGGAATCTGGGAACTCAATGAGTGGTGATCATTTGGATGCAGCTTTGAACATGCTCCAAAGGTTTGATGTTTGTTGTCCTTCTCCTAGCCAGTGATAGCATCATATTTGACTTTTGTGTCCTTTTTTGTTACGCTTTCAGACGACCTGCTTGGCAGGTGCCCTCCCAACAAAAATTGAAGCCTTGTGGAGCTTGGCTAGCCACCAAACAGCGCGGGATGTCACTCAGGAGGCTTTGAAGGCAAGCATGAGGATGTTTTCATTCGATTCCTCAATGTGTTTTTGTTTCTGTTTCCTCCTGACTTGGGTGGGAAGTAGTGATATATAACATCGAGCCTATAATGGCCAGGTTTTGCGGGCTCTGAGGTACTGTGGTGAGTTGAGCACCGCAGCCCTTTTGGAGACGAAGGCGCCGTCCGAAGCTGAAAGACATCGGGTCGCGGTTCCGGGTTTTCTCGGAGGGCTTCGGACTTGCAAGGCCTAGCCTATCAGTCGGTTTGGCCGCTCTTCGGCTCCTTGGTCCCTGGATCTGGCAGGTGTGTGGGAAAAACCCTGCCGAAAGGACCAGCAACCCCTCGTAGCCTTTTTGATCTCAAACACGCCCATCCTCTGGGGATCCAAGTGCCTGTTCAGAAGGTACGACTGGACACTCCCAACCTACATAACAGTGTAACAGTGTCAAACACACCTCCGTCCCTGAGGTTCGGCACGAAAAACAGATGAAAACAGATCCCCCCGGTCGCAGCTCCGCCCTAGGGATTCCATGGTGGATCATGGTGTTCGAACCGCCTTTCGCAGCTTCGCAAGGGCCATTCGGAGACCTCGCGCCCCGGGCGGCCGTCGTTTTGCTTCAGGTCCTGGACCAAAACCTCAGACCGTTGAGTGCCAACGCCCTGGGCCACGCTCCGCGCCTTGGCCACCGGTGGAAAAACCGAAAAACCACGGTTTGGGTTTGGGTCTGTTACTCGGTGGCTCCCATCCCCAACAAAATACGGTATAGGAAGTTGCCTTCCCCCCCCCAGCAACAAAAACACGGCAAGTATATATATAGATGTGTATATATATATATAGACATGATATAGGACAAAATTTAGGATCGAAAAGCAAAGTATGAACATCCAGTGTGGCACTCCAGCTGCAGCTGCTAGCTGTCCCGACTCCTGCGCTGCCCAGGTTGGGATTGCTCATCGATTTGCGGAGCACCCCATGTGCGGAAGCCCGGGGGCATCGCAGATCGAACGCGCCCGTGGCGTCGTAAAAGCGGCGGAGTTTGCATGAGGTCTGCTGGGGGGAGTGGACGAACGAAACCAACAGTCACGAAGAAATGAAGCTAACCCAGACACTCCATGTCAATGTAGGCATATATGGCATACATGGAGCGTCTGGGATAAGTATATATACATCTAATTACTTGCGTTCGGGCACTGTCATCAGCAGACAGAATTTTGCTGCTAATATAGCTTACTTCATGACTACAGAAGATTGCTGGATCGGACCAGCCAAACTGGCAGAGACCCTCAGATCGTGGTGGTGATGCTCGGCGGACATTCATGTGTCCATCAGTCTTACATTCACCCCAAATAGATAATAGAAACACAAACAAACGTTTGGAAGACTACATGTTCCCTACCAAGAGCCATATTGGGAGTGGTGCAATGGTTATAGCCATAGCCCTTTAACCCACGATACGAAGCGAATCTTCGGGGAAAAACGCTTTTGGTCGCCAGTTCCGCATGGCTCCTGCGGCAGACATGACTGCCACGGACGCGTTTTTGGGTTGCCCAGACATGACTCAGGTGGTTGGTGGTCCAACTAGGAGGTTGACTCTGTGAACTGATGCCTATAATCCTACACTCAGCCGCCCTGTGTCCACAAATTATGGATGGTGACTTGGCAACCTCCCAAATGAAGCAGTCCAAGTGCGGATGATATTGTCCTACCCAGCAAACAAAGCCAGCTGGATTGCCGGGTGCCCCTGCCTTGTGCGGTTGGATCGGCACTGGCCAAATCCAAGCAGGACGGGGCGCCCGGCCCTCGTGGCTTCGTGGCTCCGTCCCAGAGTCCAACTGGTCATGGGAAGTCCATGGTAACCGGGTCGTTCCCCGCGAACTGCAGACCTCCAGGTGTTTCGCCGGTCCGTCGGCGATCCGATCTGATCCGATGGTAAGCAGTCTGCGTCCTTCAGACCGAGGGAAGATCCAGCTGAGCAGTTTTGGTTGGGGCGCCGCGTGTTCTTCGGCAGGCATTGATGCCTTCCGTCCACTGATGGAGAGCCCAAAGATTATGAAAGTGCCACTGGGTCCGAAGTCTGAAGCTTTGGAGGGGGCAGGAGTCTGAAGCTTGCATGGAAGACTTGGTATATATACGGGCAGGCTGTACGTCCTATAACCTGCCATGTGGCAGGTCAACGATGTTTTTTTTGAGATGGCCTGCAACCAAGTCCCATCATCATCCACTATATACCCAAGGTATAAATCCTCCCTCTGGTCGGGTTGGAAGCCGGTGGCATCGACCCCAAAGGGTGCTTGGTCTCCCAAGCTCGAAGGGACCATGAAGGGCCCAAGCTCCAAGGGACGCCGTTGTCCCTATCCCGTCGACGCAGTGAGGACCACGCTGAACGGACTCACCGGCGAGGTGAACGGAGGGTCGAAACTGGATCGGGTCATGTTTGGTTCAGCCAACAGAGGTATGCAGTGACCGGTTTCATAGGACCCGTAACCTGGGGTACCTATATTGGATGGTCTATAGTCTATAGGGTTCTTCAACCTTTGTTGGAGGGTCCAGTTTTACAGAGGGGTACCGCACTATTTGGTTGGATGAGCCCACAGCAAAGCGGATCCACAACGCGTTTGCTCGAGGAGCCCTCCCTGTTGCGGAGAAATACATTCTTCTCCATTCCTCACGACGCAAACAAAGATTGAGGGCCAAAAACTTGTAGATTCTCCTGCAACCCCGTAGCCGATTCGCCCACTGATGGATCTCAGGATGTGGGGTGCTGACGCAGATTTCGAGAGTTTGCTCCATCAGGAGTTCGTTTCGCCCGCGTCGGAGTTCGGTTGCTGCTGCTGCTTGGGGCACTAAATGTGTCATGATGTGGGCAACTACCTCCTGTCAAGATGGTTATGGTGGGTGCCAGGCGGTCTAACTACCTGTATACAAAGGCCTTTACTATCCCTAGGGCAACTACCTCCTGACGAGATGGTTATGGTGGGTGCCAGGGGGTCTAACTACCTTACAAAGGGCATTACTATCTCCCAGACACGACCTGTTCGGGACTGCCGTAGATGCTGCCCCATTGACCCCGAAAAATCACCCCCTATATGGGAAATATGAATGACATACATGGAGTGTTTGGGAATTTGTTACATTGCTGGTACTTCCAAAAAAGACACGGCATGACTGCCTCTTATAAAGAGAGGATGTAGACCCTACCTGAGCCTACCTGAGCCTAGTTTGTCTTCGTCTTACAGCAGTCGGGACTTCGCTTTGTGGACCAACCCCCCGAAGTTCGACGGCCCGGCCTTCTGCATCAGCGTCGCTGTTTTGCGCCGTCGGTATAGGAGATTCCAATCCATTTGAAGATTCAGCCGCAGGCGTTGAGCAGACGGACCTACGTACCTGCCAGGGGTGGTGAAACACCAAGCGGTGTGGCGGGGGTTGTCCTGCGGTTTCTTCGTTTTGGTTTTGTGTCTGACTTGCCTGCGGTCTATATATATTAATATAGGTGCCTAATAGCTGGTGCTTCGGAGGGGTTCGGAACTCTCCAGTTCTTCTCACTGTCAATTCTCACTGTTTCAATATCTTTCGGGAAAACGGAGCTCGTAGTGACCACGCAAGTTCCTCAACGAATGGTTGGAGTGGCAAGTAGGCCGGGTCCCAAGCTGAAGCTCTGCGGGCCGTCTGCGGAGGGAGAGTCCGCGCCTTCGAAGCCTAACCTGAAATTCAAGGCCCTGGGCAAGAGATAGACCGAGAACCCATATTTTGGGTGGTTGGTGGTGGAGACTCGAGACTAGAGGTCACTCAGGTTCTGGGCGTTTTTGCACTTCTGGGGTGAGCAACCGACGCCCAAAAAGAGCAGCAAAAACCCATTGACCATCGTTTTCACATCCCTGAGCCCTCGACCCGACTGACCCAGTACCCTAGAAAATGGGACATGACCCTATATTTAAAAAAACAGGTACTTGTGCCCCATGTTCTGAGGACCAGGTAACTTTGAGGCTCCAGGTCTTTATATATGATGCATTTGCAAAGCTGGCCGCAAAAACCAGTGTTTTGAAAACAACCATTTACCATGACCAGTTTCACCCTTCGTTGACTCTGTTTCCTTTATATAATCCCATCCGATGTGTTTCAGAGGCAGTGACGGACCTGCAGCTGGCCTTTTCCTCTGGGGATCGGCGCTTGGGCATGGCGCGGATGTTGGAGCGATTGCCGCACGGCGTCGCCAGGGCTGAGGGCCGCGGGGAACGGGCGGGAGGATTCTGACAGATGGGGAGAGCTTGGAGAGGGCACCCCTGGTGGGTAGATGGGTTGAGGGGTGCCATGATGGAGTTTAGAAGGTTAGGTGGGTTGGGGAGTCAGTTTAGACTTAAACTTGTTTGATTGAAAGATGAAGGTCAGGCTCATCACAGCAATTTCGTGTTACATCGCATTTAATTTTGGACCTGGTGGCCACTGGTAGACAGTAGAGATTCGAAGATACACTCCCTGGAACTAACATGGAAGTGGAGAATGGACCCGAAAGGAAGACCATTTTCCACCACAAACAGGTGGTTGTCCACGTAACCATGTTAGTTCCAGGGAGAGTAAGTTCTTTGGTCAGCCGGGACATGAAGGCCACAGGAGGATGTGCTGCAGGGGTCACCCATCACGGTTCCCGTGTGAATTGGGGGGGACATCTATCGAACCGCCTTCCTTCCCACCAGACTATAACTGGACGTGTAACAGGACCCGAAAGCATGGACGTGTAACACTCACAACGAGTTTCCAGCTGAGTTCAACCCCAAAAGCTTGCAAGACTGGTTTCGTCTGTTTCTCTTCACCAACGGCGTTTTCCAAAAAACGGTGCGTCCTCTTGCAGCGTTCCTTGTTGGATTGGTTTTGTCGGTTGCCTTTGCGAGATCGCGGCGAGATCTCATGCTCCCCGCGCTGGCCCGCGCGTAACGCCCGTTCCGCGCGCGTAACGTTCCCCGCGGCGGGGCAGTCGACCGCGGCAGCTTCTGAGGCCTGCTGACCTCATGAGCCCTTTGCCCGACAAGAAGCAGCGCCGCCCTCAGTGGGACGGATCGGTGCCATCCACAGTTTCCATGTAATGAAGACCTGGACCCGACTGACCCAGTACCCTAGAATCATGGGACAGGACCCCCAAAAAACAGGTGCGACTGTACCATTTTCCGAGGTACGAACTGAGACTCCAGGTATTTCAGGGAGGGTACCAGCACCATCCTGCCTGGGAGTTCTAGCTGGAGAGTAGCATCCAGCCCGCTAGAACATCCAGGATCTCCAGACGTTTCGACACCCATACAAGCCGTCATAAATGGTCAAATCTGTCAGCAAGTGCTTTTGTGTCTTCCAGTGTGTATGATCAAGAGAAAGGGTAGACTGCATGCAGGAAGGCCGATGTTTTATTGTGTTTGTCCGGTTCATGTTTGAATCGAAAACATTGCTTATTCTCATAATGTTTGGCATTGCTTTCTAAGTACGTGGAGTTTGACCATGGCTCAAGCCGACGCTTGCTTTTAAAACCTCAACAATGCAGGTTACCGCTGCGTCTGGCAACACGATTGCTCAGCTTGATGAGGAACAGCTGCATTACATGGTGGAAAGTGGGCAAAATGTTCGAGACCTCAAGCGACTTCTTTCAGCTCAGGTTGGGTGCTCAAGGTTTCAGCAAAGACTCTTCAGTGACGAAATGGGCGAATTGGAGGATGATTTCCCTCTACGACCACTATCAAATGTCCTGCTGGTAATTCTGCCCCTGTGTGCTCCTGATGAGACCATGGAAGAAGAACTGCTCACCAGCTGCGAGGCGAATAGTGTGGCTGACATCGAAAGGCTTCTTCAAAAGCCAATGGACCCGAACGGGGAAGGTTTGGTTCTTGCTGCCCAGGTAGGCCACTTAGAAGTTGTGAGATTGTTTCTTGAGGCTGGCGCTGACAAAGATGCAGCAGATACATTTGGTTGGACAGCTTTGGACTATGCAGCCAGGCATGGCCACTTGGAAGTTGTCCGATTGCTGCTTGAGTCAGGAGCTGAC